CTTCTCTTCTAACTACAAGCAGCCAGAAAGAGCAGACAGTAAAACACAGATAAGACAGCTTGGGCACAGAAGGAGGTGGGGGGAAAGTCTCTTGGGTAGTTGCCCAACTTCACCCAAGTGAAACAGTGGGCCTTAATAAGCACATTCCTTTCCCTTCAGGTGCACTAAGATAGGGGAGCTCAAGGCAGACTCAGGAGATATGCCTGCAGCTGCAGGAAGATGTATGGGAACAGACACACCACTCTCCCTCCCAGATAAGCACAACAAAGAGACATAGCAGCAGTCCAAGCCTCTGATAAAGTCTCCCACCCTGAATCTTTAGAGACTCTTAGTCTATTAAAGAGTGTGCCTCTGACCTACCTCGGTCAGAAGTCTCTTCTAGGTTCAAAATAGACCTGTTAACTGTTGAGCCACCCTTCGTGTTTCTCTCCTCTTTCTTTAATTCTTAAAATGCCTTCCTGATGGCTGACTGCCAGGAAACCCCTTGGATTCAATACTCAAGTATTGAATACTCAAGTAGCCTGAAGCTACTAACTCCCCTGGGTGTTGCCCTCCTGGCTACCCATGGAAGAGCAAGCCCTGTTGACAAGAGATTCCCCCAGCCCTGATCATACCTAGTTATGGTTTCTCTTCTTTCCCTAGCCATGTTGGCCCAATGAATTTGGTTCATAGTATTATCATAGCAAAAAGTTAATTTTATATGTATTTCTTTCGATGGTAAACAAATTATTCACATTATTTGTCATTCCCACTAACCCTGATAGAAACAACCCAAAGGAGCAGCTCTAAGTGAGTCTACTTTGCCCTGTATGACCCTGTCCCTAGAGCAGATTGGTTCAGGGTTGACACCTACCAAAAAGACAGCCAATCAGTAGGTTGGCCCGCAACTGTTCTCATAACCTGACGCACACATAAAAGCTGGGTAAACACCATTTCTTCCTTGGAAATTTGAACAAAGAAAGGTCAAGAAAAAAAAAAGACTTGGTAGGATGCTTTGAAACAAAAATATGAGAATTGGAGCTACAAGAGGTTGTAGGAAGCCCCGGTTACAAAATATTGAAACTATGAGCAAGCGTAGTGATGGTGGAGAGAAGAGTTTCAGGCCAAGGGAAAGAAGCAGCTCAGAGGAGACTGAGCAAGGCCCCCAACTCCTGCCACAGAGCCCTGGAGTCTCCTGAAGCCAGAGCAGCTCCCCAGTCCCAGGGCTGTGAGGCCTGTGCCTTCCAATACTTCTTTCTGCCTTCTGTGGAAGACCAACTCCGTTACTGTTCCACATTTATTCTTACAAAACATCTCCCTCCTGAGCTAACCTAGCTGAGTTTGCTCCTTTCTGCTCCAAGAAAACCGTCCAACTTTGCTGGATTCTCCCTGTGTGCAGAAATGGTGACACATATCTCTGTAGCTTTTTACCCCTAATATAATACATCGTAAAAGTAAGTGATGAGTTCTCAGTAAATGAATGTTGAATAAATAAATTTTTGAAAGCCCAAAGGAACAGATAAGTTCCTACACTTTCTGTTATGTTGTAATGTCTTTGGTTTGGCTTTCTCAAAGTTGAACAAAAGATGGCTACATTCCTAGCATCCCCCCAAGCCTTTTCCTACTCCATGAGTTTAGAGATGGACTGCTAATTTTAAACAATACAAATCAATCATCAGATTCAAAATCTCCCTCAAGAGGATAAACTCTCTGCTCCTATTCTCAACCCAGTTTGTTGAACTGATCAACACACACACACGCTCAAAATTATTTTCCTATATGGATTGTCCTCAGTGTTTTTAATACCTGAGTTTGTGGTTCTGATTGTCTGATTGATCTAAAAATTAACCAGAACGGATTTGAGATCATCTTCCTGCTTGGAGGTCATTTATCAATTCATTCTTTTAAAACATTGTTTAAAAAGTTAATTTATTACAAGGAAGTAGTCACCTTTTCTTCCAAAGATATATAAAAAATCAATTTGGTTATGAAGAGAACTTTTGAATTTGGAGTTACTGAAAATTATTTGCCATTGGAGGACTACGTACTGGTCCTGAGAACAATGATAAAAGCCACGGCCCCAACTCTGGCAGCTGCTGGGCTGGTGGCAGAAGTTGCCTCATCTGCTTTTCCCCCACCCTTCTGGGAGCACTAGTAGCTTTGACTATACACAGCTATCAGGAGAGAGAGAGTTCAGTCTAGGCCAGGGGTTGGTCACCAAATCTTCACTGCAAAGGGCCGGGCAGTAAACATTTCAGGTTTTGTGGGCCTCACAGTCTCCATTGCAAGTATTCTGTTGTACTATGGCCGCACAAAAACAGCCACAGATAGTATGTGAAGGAATGAATATGATTATGTTCCAATAATTCTACGGATACAGAGATTTGAATTTTATATAATTTTCATGTATCCCAAACTATTGTTCTTCTTTTCCGCCATTTAAAAATGTAAAAACCATTCTTGCCTTGTGAGCTGTATCAAATCAGAGGATGGGAACATGGATGCAGGTTTGGGGTCCCTGCTTCCTACCCTAGCTGAGTGTTGGGGGAACTGGCTATAGAATAGATGCCTCAGATCAACATGGGGGGACTCCCTTCCCAAGGTGAGTGCTGGAGTGACTGTGAACCCTAGTGAAGCTTCATGTGCCCCAGGGTACCAAAGCAGCAGAGCAATGGTGGCCGAGGGGCCTGGACAGAAGGCCCTGGAGCCAGCTCTGTGACAGGCCCCTACAGATGATAAGGACAAAGAGTCAAAGTTCCTGAGCCTCTATATCAAAGGAGAGAAGAAGATGCTGATGGCTGGCCAGCAGCTTCAGAGAAGGCTGGGTTGGAAGGCGAGACCTGCCTGTACTCTAAAAACAGAGACCATGGCAAGATGGGGTCCCCTTGGCTGGTACAGCAGGGGTAGCAGCTGATGCCCAAAGACTGCACGGTATGGAGGAGGCTCTTCTCAGAGGAGAAGTGGTCTGCCTCCACTCTGCTGGGCTCCCTAGAGCTGGTGAGGGGTAGGAGAGAGGGTACTTACTGTCTATTTGTGCTAGAGGTAGGGGGAGGGTTGTATACATAAAACACTCTGAACTCCTCCAATGCCGGAACTAAAATAGAATGCATCTTAGAAGCAGCATCCACCTTTCTTTAGAGAACATTTTAATCCACAAGTAAGGGATATTTGAAAGCCACACAAGGCTGGGTGTTGTGGCTCACACCTGTAATCCCAAGGTCCAGGAGTTTAAGACCAGCCTGGGCAACATAGCAAGAACCCATCTCTTAAAATAAAAGCTACATCCATCTCTTCCCACTGGACCAGGGGTCTTCTCAGATCAGCTGCAGGATGCCTGACCTCCTAAGGGGCTGCACATTCTGTATGAGACGGTGTCACCAGGCAACAGCAGGAAACCTAGCCAGCCGCCATGCACTAGACACTTCTTATGTGGCGATGACTTTACTCTGGAGAGAGGTAGCCACACTGAAGCACTCCCCTTTCTGCAGGTCATCTTCTGTGACCTAGAAGAGCTCTGTGAGTAGGGCTGTGGCCTCAGGAGGATTATTCCACAATACCTTCAAAGTATTTATTCAAGTTTAGGAACAGTGAGGCCTGGAGATAATAAAATTATCTGCATTTGTCTGCCATTAATTCACTTTCACAAGAAGCAAAGCTTTTGGTTTCTTTAGGCCTCAATTTCTTTTTTTTTTTTTATTAATTTATTTTTTGAGACAGAGTCCCACTCTGTTGCCTCGGCTGGAGTACAGTGGCACAATCTCGGTTCACTGCAACCTCTACCTCCTGGGTTCAAGCCATTCTCCTGCCTTAGCCTCCCTAGTAGCTGGGACTACAGGTGCCTGCCACCATGCCCTGCTAATGTTTGTATTTTTAGTAGAGATGGGGTTCCACCGTGTTGGCCAGGCTGGTCTTGAACTCCTGACCTCAAGTGATCCACCTGCCTCGGCCTCCCAAAGTTCTGGGATTACAGGTGTGAGTCACCGTGCCCGGCCTATGCCTCAATTTCTTCCTGCCTCATTGTAATTATGTCATATTTATTTAATTCTCTAAGTCTCTCCTCAATAGATTTTATTCTACTACTGAAATCCAGTCTGCAGCAACTAAAAGTTGTATAGTGGATATGAAATTTATGTAACCACCATAGTTCAGTATCTCAGGGGTAAAAAAAAATGTGACTATTTATTTCCATAAAACTGAACCTATCAGTTCAAGACAACTTTTGCTTTAAAACTCAGACTCTGTGAATCAATAGCCAATTTCTGGATCTTTCCCCTCCTCCCAGGACATCTTCTCCCTGAAGTCTGTCGCAGTTCCTATGCAGAGAAAGAGGGCACTGCAGCACCCAGGCGCTGGTGAGAGGGAGTTTCTGGCTCAGACTATTCTCTGCCTTCCATTGGCATTGACTCAGCCGAAACTTGGCACGCCTTGTCCTCTTAGTCATGCGCTGGCATCTACCACTTGTGTCCAAATCCACGGTGGCCTCACGTCACCAGGCCCACACATTCTCAGGTTCCTTTGGCTCTGCAAGCCTGCAGTGCTTGGCTGCTTGGGCACGCTTGGGCATGCTTGGGTACTTTCTCTTCCGCCTGCTGGGTATTCGGGGGGGCTTCTGAGACACTGACTTCCTTGGTCTCTCACTCAGTCCTTGCCAGGTGGGGGCTTCTCTTATACACTTTCAGAGCCTCTGGCTCACACCCAGGGAAGCAAAGCATAGTTCCCTCTGCACTCAGTTCTTCTTTGACTAAAATGGGTCTTTATTGCCCACCCTCCCAAACTCAAGCAAGGCCAATGGTGAGGGCAGGATTTGGGACCCTCTCCAAGACATTCATTAATACCTGTTTTAATCTCTTCTTGCAATTGTCTCTCCTCAGACATGCCAGGTCTTAGATTACATGACTTAAATTATAAAGATGTCAAATATCCCCAAATTAACTTACAAATCCAGTGCAATTGCAGTTAAAATCCTAGCTGTAATTTTTTTTATAGATACTTGATGTACTTTTATTCTAAAATGCATAGGGGTTCTCACTGTGGTACACCTATACTAAAATTGGAATAATATGGAGAAGATTAGCATGGCCTCTGTGCAAAAATGACATGCAAATTTGTGAAGCATTTCATATTTTAAAAATAAATAAATGTATAGGAAAAAATAAGTTCCACAGGGAGCTAAATCAAATGGTAGAATAAAGAGGGAAAATTGGCCACCAGATAGCAAGACATCCTACAAAGTTGTTTTGAACACGGAAGTGGAGCAGAATAGACAGTTCACAGGTGAATTTCATACAATGTCGAGTTGGCTCCACAGTTTAATTCGGGGGTGGATGGATTGTTTAGTGGGGGTAGATGGTGATGGAAAAATAGGCAGAGAAATAAAGGATAGAGACAATTAAAGTTGGATCCTCATTCTAACCCCACATACAAAGGAGATTTCTAACAGACGAGAGGCCTAAATCTGAAAGATAAGATCATAAAGTTAACAGGAGAGAAGCATTGCAACCTGGAAGGGGTAAAGAACTCCTTAAATGAGACTTTAAAGTACAAGCCACAAGGCAAATTGACAGATCGGATTATGTCAAAATTAAGGATTTCTGTGAACAAGTGACATCACAGGTGAACTGAAGAGATGATGACAGATTGGAAAGAGATTATGAGGTCTAAAAATGACAAAGGAGGCATATCTAGAATATACAAAGAACTCCTGATAGTATCCCAAAAGAAAAATGGGGGACATACTCAAGACAATTTACAATCACTCAGGGCTGTGTTTAGAAATCTGGAGAAGGCCAATGCTAGCAGAGGTATGGGAATAAGATTTTCCTGCTGCTGGTGAGAGCACAGGTTGGGGCACTAGCTAATCAAATTCAGTGTCTACTCAGGGGCGTAGGTCCATTAGAAATTCTCACACAGGTCCATTAAAGGGGTATGTAGAAGCAGGGGTCAATCCAGGATTTGTGGGGCTTGAAGTTTATGTAATTTGGGGAACCCTATTGTGATACTGTCATATAATAAATAATATATATTTGGTCTCTGCCACTGGTTCCTAACACCTGGCTCCTAAAACCTTTAGAATCTCCAAAGAGGTAAGTGTCTTTTTGTATGCAAATGAGACGACTGGTGGCTGGGAGCTCCTAGATAGCTTTGGGATGGAAGCTGGTCACCAAAAGGCCAAGGCATGATTAGGGGATTGGGATTTTCAGCTCTAGCCCTCTACGTCCAGTTTGGAGAGAGCAGCTGAAGGTTCAGGTGATCACTGATGGCCAATGATGTAATCAGTTATGTCTATATAATGACTCCCACATGGGGAAAAAAAAAAAAAGGACAGGGCTTGGATGAGCTTTTGGACTGCAAAACATGTCTGAAGGTACCTGGAGGGCATGCTCGGAAAGGGCATGGGAACTGTGTGCCCCTTCCCATATTCCTCACCCTGTTCGTCTCCTCCATCTGGCTGTTCATCTGTATCCTTTGTGATATCCTTTATAAAAAAATGTATAAACATAAGTATTTCCCTGAATTCTGTTTGCAACTCTGGCAAATAAATAAACCCAAGAAGTGGGTTGTGGGAACCCCAATTTATAGCTGGTGGTCAGGAGCACAAGACACAACCTGGGGCTTGTGATAGGCATCTGAAGTTAGGGGTAGGGGCAAACTTGTGGGACTGAGCCCTTAATCAGTGGGATCTGTGCTATCACCAGGTAGACAGTGTCAGAATTCAACTGAATTAGAGGACACCCAGCTGGTGTCTGCTGGAGAATTGTTTGGCATGTGGGCACCCAGATCCCTAAACTTGCTCAAATAATCTCCCAGCACTAAGGCTAAGCGCTGCTGGATGTAAACATGCCAACGGCCCCGTAGAGATGGGGTTAGGAGGTCCTCACGCCTCTGCCAAGGCAAGTTCATTCAGTTATGCTTGTTGAGATAAAATATTTTGCAATACTTCCCAGTTTGTTTATTTATTTTTAGACATGCCTATCTACTAAGAAGAGTGTTTGAAAAAAGAAGCTCCACAGAATCTTCTGGATGTGCTGGGACTTGCTCTAAGCAATGGGCTGAGGGTTCGGGATGTGCCCCCAGGTTGTGTGCTGAGTTCAGCTGCCCCCACTAATTTTCTGGGAGGGGGGTCTCCAAACTATTGCTTATGAGGGGCAGTGAAAGCTGGAAACACTGGGCTTCCCTATAAAGTAAGGGAAGAAGTCCTGGAATAGACAACAAAGGCCTGAGCTAGGGGGTACAAGGATGAAAGATCCAGATAGAGCCCCACTAAATCTAGTGTGGAGCTAGAGCAGATCAACACACTCATCAGACAGAGCCACGGTTTGGCAGCGGGGTGAAGTGGGTGGACTATGGCAAGGCATAGACAAGCAGTTCAGCCAGCACGGTGGTCAGGGATGTCATACAGACATGCTCCCTGAACTGCATTCAGTGAGCCAGGCAGGAAGGCACCAGGCAGAGGGAGCAGCAGCATGTACAAAGGCACAGAGGCCCAGGAGAGCATGGGGCCTTTGGGGACCTGCAAGAGATTTCCTGTGTGTGTTTGCTGTATGGGGTAGGTGTGGGTAGGGGAGTGTCAGCAGGGGGCTGACTCACAAGGGGCTGGTACCCCCATGCTGATGGGCAAAAAGGAGGCCTTGAAGGTGAAGGTGCAAATAGGGTTCTGGAGCCTACAAGCCAAGTTGGAGCGGAAGACACAGAATGGAAGGTCTTTGTAAGTGAGTCTGGTTTGGAATAGCTGGAAGAACACTCCCAGATTTCTTCTCTGTGTGCTCTATTCTTTCAATTGTATTTTATGTAGCAATTGATTTACTGGTACTTTTCCCCCAGTCTAGATAATTATTAAGTGTATGGATTTTGCCAGTATGAAATTAATCTGCTCTGCAGAGCAAATTGTTTGGACACAACATCCTTCAAACTTTGTTTCTGCCCTGGAAGCCCAAGGGTTGCAACAGGAGCTGAATTTAGCCCTAAACTAAGTCCTGGCTAATGAGTCACGGGCAAGGCTGAGAGGTGGGTGGCTCGGGCCTGCAGTCCTGACAAATGGCACAGGGCAGCACTACCTGGACTTGGGCTTAGCATTTCTGGGTGGCTCACAGGGCAAAGTGTCCTGCAGGAGGTAAATTGTGGTAAAACAGTTTTAAAAGAGAGGAATGGGAGAGGTGAAGCTTAACTTGTGCTGGTTCCACGGTGATGGTATTATGCTTAGGAGTTGAAAAACGATTTCTCTAGCCCATAGGAACTCAAACTCACTGAAAGAGAAAAACTTGGCATTGCTCTAGCAAAATTCAAGTAGATGCTACATTCCACTGGAACAATCTAGAATGCATGTGCTAGTTTCTTCTATATTACAGGTCGAATTCTCTGGCAGGCCTGCTTCACTTGGCAGTAATACTTTTAAAGAGAAATGGCTACATCTCCAGGTTCTGTGCCCAGGGCTTGCGGAGAAAAGGAATTAAATTAAAACAGTATTTGAACTTTTAAAAATATTTAAATAGCTGGCTCAATTCAGACTGGCATTTCTTAAAATAATGGTCTCTACTTGCCAAGCTACTGCCAAGGGACGCATGATGGCTGTCCCATATCCTTGGATTTAGTTAAAAGAACTCTCCTTGCTCATCAAGGCTTTCTAAGCTGTCTCTTCCATTTTTCCTTCATGCCTGTGACTTCTGTCATAAGTTCTAGTCAGGCCCGTCATCTCACTAGTTCCACTGGACACCAAGCACTATACTTTTTTTCCTTCCCTTCCTTCCTTCCTTCCTTCCTTCCTTCCTTCCTTCCTTCCTTCCTTCCTTCCTTCCTTCCTTCCTTCCTTCCTTTTCTGAGATGGAGCCTCACTGTGTTGCACAGGCTGGTCTTGAAGTCCTGGACTCAAGTGATCCTTCTGCCTCAGCCTTTTGTGTAGCTGGGACCACAGGTCCATAGGCATATGCCACCACATCCGGCTAACTTTTTGATTTTGTGTAGAGACAGACTCTCACTTTGTTGCCCAGGCTGGTCTTGAGCTTTCAAGCAATCCTCCCATCTTGGCTTCCCAAAGTGCTGGGATTGCAGGCATGAGCCACCAAGCTCTACGTATACTTGTTTCTATTTTTACACTCTGTTAGACTGTGTCCTTCATGATGTAAAGAAGGCAAACCCAGTAGAATAAATTTCTATTCTTTCATGCCACCCTGGATTCTTGTTTACAAAGCTTCCCCTAACTTCCTCCTTCCTTTTCCACCTGCCCAAATAGGTCAACATTCAGACTTAGACCCAGCCCTTCTGTTGCTAACTGTACTGGTGGCAGCCCCTTCTCCCTGCCAAACAGGGCCTCAATTTTATTTAGAGGTCCAGCTCTCCCCAGCTGAGGGGAAGGTGACCTGACTACAGCTCAGGACAATTTCCAACTTCTAAGGGAATTATCATGGTCCCATCCCCTGACCCTGACTAGCTGGGGTGGGCAGGCTGGTTGGTTTGTAGAACATTCTTCAATTTCGATTTGCCTGATTTTTTCCTCATTCCTCATGATTAGATTCAGGTCTAATCTAATAATTTAAGGTCAGATATGAATCATCTCTTGATTAACAGAGAGGGTAACTGGTATTTATAAATTCTGAATCCTTTAAAGTGTGAGGGGGAGCCACAGAATCCATGTCCTTGGGGCATCTTGTTTATTTTTATTTTTAATTTCTTAAACTTTTTTATTTTAGGTTTGAGGGTACACGTGCAGGCCTGTTTCATAGGTAAACTAGTGTCACGAGGGTTTGCTGTACTGGTTGGTTCATCACCCAGGTATTGAGCCTAGTACCCAACAGTTACTTTTTCTGATCCTCTCCCTCCCTCCGGGCTCCACCCTCAAATAGGCCCCAGTGTGTGTTGCTCCTCTCTATGTGTCCATATGTTCTCATCATTTAGCTCCCACGTGTAAGTGAGAACATGCAGTATTTGGTTTTCTGTTTCTGCATTAGTTTGCTAAGGATAATGGCCTCCAGCTCCAACCATTGTTTCTGCAAAAGACCTGATCTCATTTTTTATAGCTGCATAGTATTCCATGGTATGCGTATAATCTGTACCACATTTTCTTTATCTAATCTGTCATTGACGGGCATTTAGGTTGATTCTATGTCTTAGCTATTATAAATAGTGCTACAGCA